CGCCCCGCGCGCAGCCGGGCCGCGCTCGGCCGCGGGCCCGGAGCTGTCCGCCGCGCGGTGCTGAAAGCTCGGGCATTCTCTCTCGGGCTGGAGCTGGTGTCCACTAGCAGCCCGCTACACCCCGCGGTCTGTGTGCCCCCGCTAGGCGGGCGCCTGGGTCAGGACCACTGCGCCCCGAAAGGTGCGCGCCATGCTTTGGGTCCCTGTCTGCGAGAGCAGAGGGGCTGGTCCTGGGGTAGAGGGCTGCCAGCGGGGTAGTTCGAGGGGGCTCGGGGGTAGGGGAGACAGGGGAGGGCTTGGCCTGAGACCACAATTCTGGCGCCCGGAAGCACATCCATCCTTCCAACCCAGCAATGGTGCTTGTCTCCACATGCTGGCTCCGGGCTAGAGACCCTTCTGCTCCAAACCCCACTAAGAGCACCAGGTAGGGGATGGGGCTCGGCAGAGGGTGAGATCTCCCCTTCCTTCCAGCAGATGACCTTTAAAGCTGCTACCCTCCCCCACCCCACAGTCCCTCAACCCGTCTCTTGTTCAAAGGGTATTCATGTCCACAGCACAAAGAAGCCAAGCCATACTGTGGTGGGGACAAGCAGAGTGGCAGTCCAGGGACTAAGCAGGGTCAACCTTGAGGGCCGGAGTGGGATGGGCAGGGGGACCTGAGAGGGGAGGGCACTAGGGACAGGGTCCTGAAACTAGTTGCCATGTGGGAGGACACAGGAGCTGGAGGCTGAGCAGGGGGAGGGCAGCTTTGAGAAGGCTCCCAACTGCCCTCCTACACTGGGACCCGGAAGGACACCCCTGGGTAGGATGGTGGTTACTCCAGCTGTAGTGCCCGGCTGTGCTGAGGGGCTGGGGAAGGGCACTCCCTGCCTAGACCCCGTGCCCCAAGACTGTGCCATCTGGCCCCAGCACATGATGTACACACACACACACACACACACACGGGGCACAGCAGCCCGACAGTGAGGTGGCACCGCCCTCCCTTCCACAGGTGTCAGTCGCACCCAGGCTGGCTCAGATGTGCGTTAATGAGCAACCCCCACTCCCACCCCCGTGTGCCTGTGGCAGTCAGGGGAGCTGGTCACTGAAGACAGGCTTCCTCGCTGGACACAGAAACCCAAGGCCCCAGGGCTCTGGAAAGAACAGCTTCCAGACAAACGGTTACATCAAACCCAAACACACAGCAGGCCGACCGCTAATGGGAGCCGAGGTGGCAGTGGGGCGACGGTTCAGAGCTGTCAGACAGGCTGGGGAGGCAGACGCTGTCTTTCAGCTCTGGCTGGCCGCTGCTCCCGGGATGGTGCAGGGCGAAGCTCCCTGGGGCAGGTGAGTGATAGGCCGAGCCCCAGCCACAGGGGGGTTGACAGCAGGTGGGGTGCTAAGGTGAGAAGAGCCACCCAGGAATCCCAGCCACACACCCATGCCCAAGCAGCAGTGATGGCGCCCAGTCCAGCAGGTGGGCTGCAGCGCAGACCTGGGTTACACACACACCCATCACAGCTGCCACTTGCCGAGCCTAGCACACAAAGGACACTCGCCAGCCTCCTCCCATACACAGCCGTACACAGACACACACACACACACACGCACACACCCCACAAAGCAGTCAGACACACATCAACACATGGCCACACAGCCACCCCCAAATAGCACAATCCTATCCGGCTGTCCACTCAGGCACAGCCTCCCCGCCAGAAGACAGCCACACCAAGGTGGTCACACGCACGTTACAGGCGGCAAATGCGTGTGTCTCACACACGCTTGAGCACAGCCGACAGACAGGCCCAGCAGGCCGTCCTCACCTGCTGGCGGTGGCGGTGGCGGCGAGCCGGTGAGCACCGGCACACTCCCCAGACACATAGGCAGGCCGCACACTCCTCCCCATGTGTGAGCCCCAGGGCAGCCCGTGCTCGGGGACCTTCCCCCGACCTGGCCACGTGCCCCCCTCCCTTTGTACTCGAGGAGCCCCCTGCCTCCCTGCTGCCACCCGCAGGGCTCCCCGCTCCCAAGTTGGACACACGCACAACACAGATGCAGGTGAAACAAGAAAAGCATTGCTTTATTCTGGGTCCTGGAAGTTCCTTGTGGGTCTGAAAAGACCACGGGGCAGTGCCCTGGGGGCTGGTGCAAGAACAGTCCCTGGCTCCTCTGGCCCTGGAAGCCGAGGGGGCAGTCAGGAGAAGGCTTAACTAGAGGCCTGGGGCAGGGAGAGGCAGGCCGTACCAGACCCAGGCCCAGGAGGTGGAGGGAGAAGAGGGCTGGAGGGTCACTGCCCAGTTCCTTAGCAGCTGCACCCCGGAGGGTGTGGCGTGGGGTTACTCCTCACCCTTCTCAGGGGTACTGGGCTCCCGGGGCCACTTGTCAGCCCCTGCAGGCTCTGTCTCTGAACCCAGGTGTGGCTCCCCCAGGGGGCCCTCGCCCTCCAGGTCCAGCTCCTCAAAGGACGAGCCGCTGGCGCCCGACTCGCTGTAACTGTGCTCGCTGCGGGTGTCACCGTCGTCCCAGCTGCGGCTACCTGCCCCGGGGGACAGTGTGGTGGCTGAAGTCTCCCGGCTGCCGGGCCCCACCTCCAGGCTTACAGAACTTGTGTCACTTGTGTCAGCTCCTGCAGCCAGAGAGAACACAGGTCAGTGGAGCTAGGCCACCGCCCCTCTTCCAGGAGAGGGCAGAGGCTCTCCCACCGGGTCAGCCGCTCATGAATAATACAGCTGCCCCTGGCTCAGGAGGCTCCTTCCAGCTGCCCTCTGCCCTCTGCCCTGCCTGGGGAGGAGAGGGCGAGGCGGGGAGGGCAGGCGCCTGCTGTGCACTCCTCTTCTCATCCTGAATTGGCCTTAGCCGCCTGCACTCTCACAAAGCCACTGCATCCACCCCCACCCGGTCCATTAAGGGCCGGTCAGCCCCGAGGAGAAGGGTGCAGGCTAGAACAAAGAAGCCCCAGTAATGTGGCCCCTCCCTCCCATTTCAGGCTCAGAGAGCAGCTTGTTCAAGGACAGCTACACAAAAACACTGCCCAGGAGGCCCACGCCTGCCCTTCCCCTGCAAGACCCAGGAGGCACAGCCATGCCCAGCAAGTCAGCTGGTCCATGGTCCTGGCCCACAGAGGGGGCTTGCTGCGCCCTCCCACGAGGGCGGGGGGCAGGAGTGGGAGAACTGCGAGGCTCAGCCAGCAGCTGCGGCCTGGCTGGGTCAGCCGGGGGAGCCCCGCCCACACTGGCAATGCCACAAGCACCAAGCTCTCCCTCTCTGCTGGTGGTCAGGGCCTGCTCCCAGCACAGCCTCAGCCCATCACCCTAGTCATTCCAGGACACTGGGTGCTACCTGTGGAAGTGGCTGGGGGGTGGGGTGGGGTGGGAGGAGCAGGACACAGAGGTACAGGAATGGGGATGGGGGAGCTGATGCAGGGTCCT